TGAAGGCAAGGACCACATCTTAGTCACATGTGTCATCAGCTCCCGGGATGTGGCACCTGCAAATGTTCAGTCAAGATCTGCTAAATGAGGGCACCTGGGTGGCTCAGTCAGTTAAGCGTCTGCCCTCAGCTTGGGTTATGATCCCGGGGTCCTGGGATCGAGCCCCACAATGGACTCCTTGCTCAGCGGGGAGTCTGCTTCTCCCTCTCCCTCTGCCCCTGCTCCTTCTCTCTGCCTTGCTCACTGTCTCAGTCAAATAAATAAATAAAATCTTAAAAAAAAAAAAAAAAAAAGATCTGCTAAATGAGAGGCAGGAGAGGGTGGCAGAAACAGAGCCCGGCAGGTCTCCCCCGGAGCTGATCCCTTGAGTGTCTTTACAGCTGAGGTGACTGCCCAGCTGAGGTGAAAGCCCGCAAAAACCTTGAACTTATCAGCTGACAAATGGAGAAGGGACTTCTCTCTCTCTGTGTCTCTCTCAGAGACCAAAACCTCTAGCATTGCCCTGAAGGGGAATGATTAGCAGGACAGAGACCAACTATCCCCTGACCCCCTCTTCACCAAATGCAGGGATTGATGCCAATAGCCTTGGAAAGCATAAGGGATACTCAAAATATTTAACAACCAGCACGGCGTATTACGGGAGAACAGGCACCAGCCACGGACCCTGGCGCAGTGGGACCAGGAGCACCCGTCGGACCTCGGCCATGCAAGAAGATGGGAACTCAGCTACAAGGACGACAGATTGAACAGAAGGAAGCTCACCCTCTTGACTTGCTTGTAGCGCAGACTCCCCATCACCAAGATTTCATTTACTTAAGACATTAACTAGCTACATGAGCTTGTACAAGCCACATCCTCTCAACCATAGGCCCTGCTCTCTGACAGAAGTGAAAGAAATGATCCAAAGCCCTCCCAGTTCTAATATCCCATGGTCGCATTTTCTCATACCTCACCGGCTGCACCTGGTAACAGAAAACCAGCAGGACAGCCAGCCAGCTCTGGTGGTGCCCAGGTAGGGGCCCTCAGCCAGGCCAGGCATCTTGCCCTCTGCTCTGTAGGGTGGGACACTCCTTCCAGCCCCTTTTGAGGAACCCTAGAGAGCTGTGGAAGCCCTGGCCAATAGATGAAAGACCCCAGGCGTGAAGGACCTGAGAGGGAGCCACACCCCAGCGGCAGAAACCCTCGGCCTGCCTTCCACGAGACCCACTGCACGACCTCTTTCACAACCTGGACACTGCTCATCTCCGGGTAGGGGTCTGTGTAGACAAAATGCCGCCCCTGGACAGTCGTTTTAAGAGAACAGGGGGAGCAGCTGCAAGGCCCAGCCCGGCTCCTCACCGGCCTGACAAGGCGTTTTAGGTTTCCTATGACAAGGGGACAAGAGCCGCTCTGACCACCTCAGCGGGGATGCCATTAGCATCGAGTGAGGACACTGTTAATTTTTTAAACTCCTTGGAAAAATGTCCCCAGTTTTGGGGGGGCTTGACTTCCTCCCTTCTCTCTGTACCCCTGCCCAGGCTGCGGAGAGGCCTCCCCGGGGAAGTGAGGTCCAGCCAGCCCCGCGGAGGCTCTGCCCTGCTGAGCTGTGCAGTCCCAGGGGCAGGGGTTGCCGGGGCTGCCTTTGTTGTGTCCCCTGAAGGTCCCTTGGGGGCGGGAAAGAGAGGCAGGCGAGAAGCCGAAGGCTCCCGCCTGCGGCGTCAGGGTGGGGCACACGGGACAGGAACACAGGCAAAGCCGGGGGAAATCAGCCCGGTTTCCTAAGCCCTTAGCGCGAGCCAAGTCGTCAGCAGTGCGCGAGCTCCCGCACTCGTGAGCACACAAGCAGCCACCACCAAGACCCAGCACGCACCGGGGCGTCATTACATCCACATTTGCCTCTTCCTCTGTGTTCCCTGGAGCCTCTCCTAAGAATTCCGGGGAAGGAGGAATAGGAAGGTGCTCTCGAGGGCTTGGCAGTCAGTCCTGGTATGACAAAGACCCCAGAAGCTCAGACGGAGTTCAAATCCCAGCTGGATCACTTTGTAGACGTCCCCGTGATGGAGACACTAGCCTCTCTCACCTCCTTAGAGACATGAGGGTAACAGGCACCTGGCAGGGGTTCACGAGACTAACTGACGGAGCACAAGTCCACGTTAGCAGGCACACAGAAGGCAATCAGGGAAGTTGGTTTCCTCCCCTAAAACCACAGATTAATGATAGAGAGCAATTTCCCAAAGTCACCCCAGCTCCGTCCAGAGGCCTAGGAGGACACATGATCCGACCAGCTGCTGAATCAGATGTATAAAAGCCCTTCTGAAAAGGGAAGTGGGAACAGGCCGTGATGACAAAGGTCAAGAAACAGTGGCCTCTAGGTTTAAGAAAATGAGAAGACATTCAAATTTTCTTGGCCCACATTTTTTTCCCCTAAATGAGCCCCCGGGGGAGATCATGATGTCCTATACCTCAGTTGTCCCCTAGCCTCTTTCTCTGGCTCAGTATAGTAATTCAGGTTGAGATGCCAGACGTCCAAGGCTACAGGGCAAATAGTCAGGTGTCGGGGCCATCCTGTGGCTTGTGGGAAGGTCTCCTCTCTGCAGAGAGGGAAGGGATTTGTTCAGTCCTGGGCTCCCACCTGATACCAAGTCAGAGAGCGGAGCGCTGCCTCCTGAATAAAGCAGTGGGCCCCTGGCGCCTCCTGGCTGGCACTCTGCCCCTTCCATGCCTGCCTCTGCCCAAAGCCGCCCAGGGACCTGCCAGAGATGCCAGATCACGCTGAATAAAGGCAGCTTCTGCTATCGGTTCTCTGGTGCCCAAATCCCGGGAGAGCTAGCCCAGGGCAAGAGGGCCCCCGGCACCCCCGTCAATGCCCTCTCCTCCATTCCCAGTTTGGAAGGTCCAGCTGCCCACACAGATGAAGTTGTGGGCCATGCCTGCTGGAGTTTCAGGGCCTGCGGGGTGGGAGAAGGCCTTTACACCCCAAGTCCACACATGCCCCGGGCCCACCACGTGCACTGCACTGCACCTGGCTCTGGGATCCCCCTGGTGCCCCTCGTTCATCTGAGCCTGTGCCTCTGTCCTTCCAGCTGTCTGGGTCAGGGCAGGGGGCTTGGGAGAGGTTGGGAGGAGGTGTGTCACAGAAGGCCTTCCTCAGCCCACCCACTCCACAACCCCGTCTGGAGGCCTGAGGTGGGTGAGTCCCTCAAATGCTCACATTCGCCTCCCACTCAGCAGCGATGCCCATCTCCAGACAGGTCGCCCTCATGTGTCCAAATTGGCAGTGAGGAGGCAGGTGTCTCTGCCACCCACAGGCCCACAGGCATCTCCAGCGATGTCTTTAAATGAAATTGTAATTGAATGGCTACACGTAAGAAAACATATGCGAACTGTCATTTAGTCATCTGATAAACACCAAATGGCCTTTAAAATATGAACATGGACAATGTAATACATGGAACTACGCCCACTGAATGAAAAAGTGAAACACCAAATGGAAGGTATGCACCCATCATCATCCTGTATCAAGCACACTCAGATAGCAACCAGGGTCGGAAATGATTCCTATGATAGTCAATCAGTTAGGATTTGATGCATGCAAAGTTCTTTTGATCTGTAAGGCTAAATGAATGATTTTTAATGGGTCTCTAATAGAAACCCATTTCCTCTCCACTTATTTGAAAATCAGATTGAAACCAGAGCCTAAAAGACGGTGTAGCCCAGCAGGGCAGGGACAGCCGAGCAGCTGGGGCCAACTACACCTGCCCTCCACGCTGCTGCCCTGGTGCAGCCAAGCGGCGGCCTCGCTCCTGTGAGGTGTCAGCTGCAGGCTTCTGCTCAAGGCAGAGACCAAGCATCCTGACACAGTGAAGAGTTGTGCTGGCCCCAACAGGCCCCCAGAAGAGCTGCTCGGGCCCTCAGAGGCTCCAGCTGATGAATCGCCAGCCAGTGTTTAGCACCAACAGGAGGCTGGGGCAGGGGGTGAGCAGGAGACGATCCAGGACTGCTGGCCCGGAAGGAGGGGACAATTCCTACTCCATCTTGTTGGGGTGGCACACACTTGGAGGCAACGTGGGTGCCCAATATCCTTAGGGAAGTGACCAGGTAACCGCAGTGTCTGCAAAGCGCTCATCCATTAGGAAAAATGGGTTAGACGCACATGCAGAACGCGAGTGGGCTCAAAATACAGGGCCGAGGGGCGCCTGGGTGGCTCAGTTGGTTAAGCGACTGCCTTCAGCTCAGGTCATGATTCCGGGGTCCTGGGATCGAGCCCCGCATCGGGCTCCCTGCTCAACAGGGAGCCTGCTTCTCCCTCTCCCTCTGCCTGCCACTCCCCCTGCTTGTGCTCACTCTCTCTGTCAAATGAATAAATAAAATATTAAAAAAAAAAAAAAAAGTGTTGCCAGGACAGTTACCTTTGAATTTCAGATCAGCAACAAACAATTTTTTAAGGACCTAAGTAGGTCCCAAATATTTCATGGGACATACTTCTGCTAAAAAGTTATTTGCTGTTGATCTGAAATTCAAATGTAACTAGGCATCTTGAATTTGCTAAATCTGGCAACTCTAAACAATAATAATAGCAGTGACAGGCACTGTTACTAAGTATTTAATTCACTTGTCTTGTTTTCCTCTTCAAACAACCCAATGAAGAATGTATTGCTATCCTCTTTACACAGACTTGGAAACTTTGACTCCAAAGGAGCAAGTCATTCACCCAAGACTGTGAGGCTCATTGATGCCAGACCCAGGATGTGAACATCTGTCTCTGGGCTCCAGAGTCCACCCTCCTGAGCATGATGCTGTTTCCCAACTGAGGAGCTGAACAAGGCCCAGGCCTCCACTCCCTGACACGCAGAGACAGGTGTGGGGACTGAGCCTCCCACAGTAGTAGTGCCAAGAGCTCCTTGTCTGGTCCTCAAAACAAACCACTACCTCAAGAAACCTTCCCACCAGACTCCAGTTCGAGGAACCAAGTGAGCTCTGGGTTCCAAAAAGTGAAAATCAAGGGAGCAAGGGAGCCCCAGTTAGTCTTCAAAGAGCACAATGTCCCTACACTGGTGGAAAGATTGAGAGAAGCACCTCCAAGGTTAAGGGTCTGGATAAGCAGTACAGGTCAGGAGGACAAGGGTCTGAGCCAAGCCACATGCCATCCTTCCTGGGGTGAGAGAAATGGATGAGTGACCCCTGAGGGCCCCTTCCAGTTTGGGGTATTAACCTGAATCTTACACAACAGGTGAGAATGGCACCACACCCCTCAGCATGACTCTATTTAAAAGAGTCTTAATGAGCATTTATTGAGCACCTACTACATATTACACATTGTGCTAGGTGTTTTCATTGCCCCAACTATTGATGGGGCCTGTAAAACTACAGCCCAGCAGGGCATTTAACTGTTTTGCAGATGAGGAACGTGAGATTCGGGGAGATCACTTATTTATTCAACTAACACTTGTTAAGCGCCTACTACACTACTTTATTCTTCAGACTCTGTCCTAGGTGCTGGGGATATAGAAGTGAACCAAACAAGACCCCTGCCTTCATGAAGCTGGTTGGGGCACAGGTAAAAAACCAAATCTATCATGTTGTTTCAGGTAGCAATGCTAAGTGTGATGAAGGAAAGTAAAGCATGGTCAAGGAACAGAGTGAAGGGGTGGGAGTACTATAGCTAGATGGTCAGGAAGATGTTTGGAAAGAGATAACATTTAGGCAGAGGTCTGAAGTGAGGGAATAAGCATGCACAGGTCTGGGGAAGGGTGCCCAAGGCAGTGGGGACAACCAGTGCAAAGACCCTGAGGTAAGGGTGACCAACACACAACCAAGATAAGGCCAAAGGGCTGGAGCAGGTGCGGGAGGGTAGGAAAGGTAGAAGATGAGTATGGAGGGGATGGTTAGGGCAGGTCATCTCTAAAGGATCACTGTGATATGAAGAAATGGATCAATGGATGAATGAATGGATGGAAGGATGGACAGATGGATATGGAGATAAATGGATTTCCATGGATTCCCTTAAGCTGCTACTGACCAAAGGTGAGAACATATATCACTCACAAGTTGATAAAACATGTCCAATGTTCAGTTTCCAATGAATCACCTCCCTCAGAGGGCCCCAGGCAAGCACATTCCTTAGTGAAGTATATCCCCTATAGAGGAATGTGATCCAAAGTTCAACAGGCAATCTGGGTCTTCATCTCAATGAAACCTTTGAAGAAGGCCACGGGATGGGGTCTTTGAGCACCAGCAAGAAATGACTTGCCTCCAATCTCTAACCAGGCCAACGCCCACAGAACAGATTGGCACATCCTTACACCAAAGACTCTCCCTCAAGTCTTTGAACAAGAAAATCTGGTTTGCCCACCAGATTAAAAAAAATGCCACCTGCCAGAACAAAGCCAATGCTCCCTGCAGATGACACCAATCACCAGGGGCCCAAACTTGCAGGGCCATCCCATCCCACGGCCCTTTGCCACCTGCCTAACCTCACCTCCAAGTCCTTCTCGAGCTCCAGCCCAGCCTCCATCAGGTTGTGCTCAAATTCCTCCCGTTGCTCCTTCTTCTCCTCCTCCAGGGCATCGAGTGGCCCCAGCTCAATATCACCGTGGCCCCCAGCATGAGGTTCCTTGCCTGTCTCCCCATTAGAGACAATCGCCAGCGACTGGCCAGGGGAGCCCAGGCCAGGTTGCACCCCACGTTTCCGGTAATGGTAGGTGAGCACGTAGTCGACCTTCCTCTGGTTGTCGTGGAAGTGCATGCGGCTCAGACAGGCCTCCGAGGACACTGGCTCGTTGGCATCCAGGTAGTTGTTGATGACCTGGAAAGAGAGAGAACAGGACAGGGACAGCGAGGTCCGGTGAGGAAGAGCGAGCGACGGAGGAGGCTGACCTTGCGCTCTGGGCCCGGGGAGGTGGACCAGGAAGCCCCTCAGGCCCAAAGGCCCCAACTCCCCCAGTAAAAGCACAGAGTGGCCTACGTTCTGCTGCCACACCCAGCCCACACAGCCCTCCACCCACCTGTCCACAGCCCGGCCACCAGCGCCCTCAGACCCGCTCTGGCAACCACGCACACACGGACGCCCGCACACACGGACTGCACATGCAGCAGCAAAGCCCTGTACGTCCGCGCGTGCCCTCACACCAGAGCCACACAGAGCACACGCACACAGAGCACCTACACGCAGCACCCCCACACCAGCTCCCCTGCACGCACATCTGTGCACACTCCCAGCACCCCAGGGCACTCTGACACACACACAGCCCTCCACACGCACTGGAACACACCCACACATACCCATCTCCTTGCAGCTCTGCTGGCCGGCCTGCAAACACACGCGTACTTACACACACAGATTACTCACCGGCAAGTTCTCTGGATCCATTGGAACAAAGGGCAATTTCTTCTCACCGGGCCCACCCCAACCCCACCCCACAGGGATTCACTCAACACTATGCCCCTCTCAGCCCCACATCCTCCTCCTCCTCCTCCTCTGCAGCCACCAGGAGGGACCCTGCCAGAGACCGCAGCAGGGGGACCGACTTCTGCTCTCAGCCAGCCCGGAGGTGGGAGGTTGAGAGAAAAGGAGGGGAAAGAATAAGGCGGAGCAGGAGAGGGACCTGCCTCCCTCCCTGTGGGTGTTTCCCTGTTTATTACTGGTTTGATACCCATCTGCTTCTGCAGCCACCTGAGAGGTCACCTGGGCAACCAGATGAAGCGCCAGGCACAGGGGAGAGCCTCTGAGCAGCCCCGGCAGAGGTCTGGGTCCTCAGACCTGTGAGGGGAGCCAGGGAGTCTGCAGACCAACAGGTGGGACCACGTGGCCTCTCACACCTCCCCTTCTCTGTCTGTCCTCTGCCCATGAGACTCCAGCGTGGCTGGGACTTGGAAACAGAGGAGAGGAAAAGGCCCTCACAAAAACCCTGGGCCTATTTCTCTCTCCCTCTCTCTTTCACATACACACACACACACACAAATACACACACCTGCCCCCCAGCTGGAGGGTGCCCCAGTCAAGAGGCTCCCTTGGGGCCCCCAGCAGGGCCAGCCTTTACCCCACCCCAGTACTCACCGAGCCTCTGCGGGAGCTTCCTCCCCGTGACGGCGGGCCAGATTCTCCGTCAGAACTGCCCTGCTGGCTGGGGGCTTGAGGACCCGGCACCTTGAGGTACTGCTGTCCATGTTTGGGGCCCTGGCCTCCTCTGGCCACTGCCCGGGGGTTCAGCCGGCGTGGGGAGCCAGGGAGCAAGGGGATATCTGTGAGAGGGAAAGACAAAGGAGGCAAAGCAGCTTCAGGTAACAGGAAACCCAGGACACAGAGAAACTGAGGCATTGAGAGAGGGAAATTGGGAAATCCCTAAGAAAAAGGCCACACCTCCTCACAGCCTTGGTTAGCCAGAGTCACCCTGGCCACAGGGCAGGGGAGTGTGTAGAAGGAAGCAGTGGGATGAGGAAGAGAGTCTCTCACACACACACACACACACACACACACACACATACATACAGACACACACACATACACACACAGGGCCTGGAGCCACCAGCAGAAGCTCCTTCAGATGATGGCTGTCATAATCTTATAATTCCCAGACAAGATGAGACAGCGGCTCAAGTGAGCCAGGGTGGGTGGAGCACTCCCTGAAGAGACACCCTGAATTCATGCCAAAGGCTTGAGTTTTAGGGTCTCTCCCAGGGCAGCCAGGCCAGCCAGCACCCTGACCAGCTCTCATGCCCCTTGAGGAGAGAGCAAGGACAGACAGACCAACTGTGGGTCCCCTGAGGGCCGAAGCCTGCTCTGACAAAAGCCTTGTCTCCAATGCCCTTGAGGGGTTCCCATGCACCCACTGCCTCCACCAAGGCCTCGGAGCTCCACAGCCCCTTTTCAGCCCTCCCCAGAGCAGGCCCCCTAACAACCTACAGTGGGAGCCAGTTCTATTTCAGAGAATTTCCAGCTTCACCCCTGGAGGGAAAGGACACAGGCTGGTGACAGAATTGCAGAATGTCAGAACTGGAGGGGACCGAAGCATTAAATACACCGCTTTGCACCAAAACACCCCAGACAGGGCCCCCGAGCGGCCAGGATCTCGAGGCTGACCAGACCCAATCTGTCCCCACCTCTGAGAAATACTCTCCAGCCAAGCAGCACAGCGCGGGGTGCCTGGGCCTACCTCTCAGCTCTGCCACTTGCCCTGAGACCTCTCCGAGCCTGTTCCTTCCACCTGTGACATGAGAATCCCAAACTGGCAGGGTTGTGGTGAGAAACCGAAGGAGAGATACATACGCAAGACACCCAGGGCAGTCACCAGCCCCCACGTGTGCAATGAAAGGTGGTGATTATAATTATTATCCTTTTGATTTTGAGCTGCGTGTTAGAAGAAATCACACCAGGGACATCCAGCTCAGCCCTAATACCTGCTACAAGAAGGAATGAACAAAAAGCAGCTTGGAACAGAGCTTCTGACCGGTTAGTCACCAGGTTGCGGCACAGCCCCTTACGCGCCTGGCTCTCTGCGGGACAGCTCGGGAGCCCTAGAACACTCGTGCCTGTATTGGATAACCTGATCGTCTCTCCTTGAAGACAAAGCCGGCAGGCAGGAAGCACAACGAGGGCCGGCGGAGCAGGGCTCTCATAAGTCACTTCTACAACCGTGGGCTCTGGTCTCTACTGCGGGAGACCAGCAAGGCTGGAAGGCTTCCAGAGGAACTGAGCCTGACGCTGGTCTTGAAGGGTGGACAGGTTCTAAAAGGCAGGGGAGGGAACACAGAAGGGCAACAGTGGGTGTGCTTGCTGGTGGCGGGGCGGAGGGGCCGCAGCTCAGGATGGCAAGGGAGGGGCTTCCTTCCTTGGTCCTTCATCTTGCCTTATCCCTCTCCCCTTGTGCCTTTCCTCATGCTTGCCTACCACCTGGCCCAGGGCAGAACTGAGAACAGGGCTCTATGGCCCAGGGAAGGCTTGGAAACCTCCAGATGTATGTCAAAAGAGCCCGAGACCCCCCTGATGTATACCTGAGCAGATGACAAAGGTGACGCTCACTCAAGCATCCTGGACAGCTATATTCCCATTCACAGCTGTGACTCAAGGTAGCTCAGATTCAGAGTCAGCCCCGAGCTTTTGTCAAACCACTCTCCAAGAGCCACAAGCCCCTGAAGGTACAACCTCGGGTTTGAGGCTGGCCTCCAGGGCCCCACCAGCCATCCCAGCAGCTCCCTCTGCTTGCCTCTGACACATGGACCACGGCAGCCTGAGGCCCTGCTTTCATGCCCACCTTCTCCCTGCTACACCCGAGAGTGAAAACACAGCATATGGCTGAGTTGTTCCAGCTCCAGAAAGACACACCAGGCAGTGATGACACAGAGGTGGAGAGACCCAAGACGGCTGGCCACCATGAAATGGGGGGGCGGGGGGGTGGGGGGTGGGTGAAGCCTGGGCATCAGGACAAACAGGGCAGGTGAACCCACTACATAGGACTCCTCCAAGAAGCTGAAAAAAGGTGAACTGAGTCTGATCGGAAGGACAGGCCATCATATACAGCCTATGGAACAGGTTATCCATTTGAAAATGATCTTTCCTTCATTGACCCTTCACTTGGCTCTTGGCCGAGGCTGTCTTGCACAACAGATCCCTGGCTGTGCAGGACTCAGCTGCCTCCCTGGGCTCTGGGTGCCATGGGGGACATGGCTTACCCACCTCTGGATCAACTGGATGGATTTTCACAAGGCTTGGACCTGGGGCCTCTTCTCTACACTCTCACTCTATGCCTGGATACTCTCATCCACTCCTACGGCCTTAATTATCACCTATGTGCTCATGACCTTCAGCATTTTATCTTGAACCCTTATTTTCTTCTAGCCCCTGGATCCAAACATCCTCCTGACTACCTGGCATCTCCACCTGGATGCTTCAGAGTCCCCTTCAAAACCTACATGTCCAAAACCAAACTTATGACCTGCTCTGCAAGAGGACTCTCCTCCAGTATTCCCCGACCCTATGAAGGCCACCGCTACACTCAGCCCCCAGACCAGAAATCCACAGGCAGCCCTGACAGCTTTCTGCCCCCATGCCCCACAGCCACTGTGTCACCAATCCTAGGAATTTTACCCTAACTATCCCCCAAATCCACCTGTTTTTCACCACCTCCCTGACTAGCACCCTAGTCCAAACTACCATGCTCATTCAGCTGGCTTACTCCAACAGCCTCCCAACAAACCCCCCCCCACCCCGCAGCTGCTACCATTGCTCTCCTTCACTATTCCCCAAAACGGGGGGGGGGGGGGGAATCACATGATGGGCTGGCATCCTAAATATCGGTAAGGATGACTCTTTTCTC